CATATTTTGTTTTAACTGTTATGTTACAAAATTTGACTGTTTATGTTTAATTATGACGTTTTATCTTTCGTGGTAACCCTTGTATTATTATATGTTTTTTTGTACCTTATTTTTATCACTTTACAACGTTTATAGGCTTAGATCCTTTTAACTGCCTAAAATAGATACTCTTCTAAACGTATCTTGACTAAAAACTCCATTTACGTAAAAAACGACTTATGACCTTTTAAGCACCGACCACAGAATTAAAATACACCGTATTGGCTTCGGACAATAATTACATGACAAATTTACCACTCTACTAACCCTTATTGCAATCATATATAGCACTATTAAGCTAAAAAAAGCTTCTCCTGCAAAATGTCATCCATACAGTTACGGGTATTAGAATTAGATCATCGATATCTTATGACTGATTTGGATTAGCGTCGTTTCAAATTTGTGAATTTCGTTTTAGAGGTCCTAATTTTTTATAGTATTAGTAGTAAGTTAAACCAATAATTTAATTAATTTTTAAATAGTCTGTGTAATGAAAAGTAGTATTTCACTATGAAACGCCCCCTTAAATTAAGGAAAACCTTTTATTTGCTACATTTTTAGGAAAAATTGAGAAATGTTAAAGGATAATAAAACTACCTAATTATTCAATAAAAATACTTAGGTCATTTTTTAATTCTCGTTTTCTCAAGGAGATGATGCAGAGGTAATCGATTCTTTTCATCTAGTCCTGCAGCGCTCGGCTATTGTTAAACTTCTCAAACTGTTTTTGACCTAATATTTTATGTATTAATACATTTTCAACAAGACAATATGTAATGTAGTTTTTGTCCAGCCTACCCACAAAAAAATATTTATCAATAGATTAAGCAGTCAATTAAACGACTATAGTTGTTTTTTGTTTTTTTTTTGTTTCTTTGTTTTCTTTTAGCTTCTTTGTTATCTTTTTTTTTTCGTTTCTTTTTGTTTTTTAAGAAATATCTCAATTTCCAACTCTAACTATTGCAAACCCCTTCGCATCTCATTTCCATCTATAGATGACACAAACCAATAAATTGATCTTCCTCCGGTGCCATTTTATTCCACTTTAGCCACCCTCCCACATTTTAATTCTTTGTGAAGTATTTTTTAAAATAAAAGGTCCTGACTGTAGCAATATCGTTGGTCCTGAGGGGTACCACCGTCGTTCTTGAAAGGTTGCTGTGACTCGTTGTCAATGCCTCTTTTTCAAAATTTTCCAAACATCATTTGATAGTGGAATATTTTCCTCTGCTTGGAAGTTTTCCTGCGTGTCAGTTAATAAGAAAGGTGGTAAAAAGGACATATAGAATTATACAAGAATTTCCATATAGGTATCCATAATTCCAACAACATGGCTTTTATCAAGGTCGCCCGACAGCAATTCTGTGGTCGGCGCTTAAAAGGAAATAAGTCGATATTACACATTTTTGGAAAATGGCGCTGGAAAATTTTGGGACATATGATTAAGGATTTTTAAAATCCAAATCAACGATCTTTTTAGGACATTTGGTCCTGTGAAAATTAAAAAATATTTAGAAATATTTTATTTTAACCGTTTTATATTGCAAAATTTGACTGTTTATGTTTAATTATGACGTTTCGTCTTTCGCGGTTACCCTTGTATTATTATATATGTTTTTTGTACCTTATTTTTATTACTTTACAACGAATATAGACTTAGATTCTTTTAACTGCTTAAAATATACCCTCTTCTAAACTTATCTTGACTAAAAACTCAATTTACGTAAAAAACGACTTATGACCTTTTAAGCGCCGGCCACAGAATTAATCTGACAATCTATCAAGACTACATCAATCTGTCACAAGCTTTTGACAGTGTCATGAATTGCTACTCAAGAAACTCTCTGAATCGGTATCTCTGGTTCTTATCTTTAATAGAATTAATCTTATTTGAGTAATCCGTGTCAACATTATCATAGTGCATAATTTCGTATCCTGTTCGGTGTTCCTCAAGGGCAACATATTGGTCCCCTATTGTTTACCTTGTGTTTTAATGATGTAACGTCCTGCTTTCTTAATATCCAATGCTTTCTTTTCGTAGATGATTTAAAAAAAATGTAGAAATACTGGTAATAACAGGTTTGTTACCTGGTGTAAACATAATGATCTTTCTCTAAATGTTTCTAAGTGCACAACCATGCATTTTACAACATAAAATATCCTATTCAGAGATTAGTATCTCTGATCCTACTGTTAATTATTACAGTACTGACAGACTACGTCGACCTAGATAGTTCCTTGACAATTATTGATCTGGTCATTATATTTTATACCACGAACAACATTGTTGATTCTGTTATAATGAAAGCCCTCAGAATACTTGACTTCATCAAGAGAGATAGTAGGAATATGAATGACACAAAATCAATCATGTCACTTTACAATGGCCTGGTAAAAAGTGTCCTGGAGTACTGTTCTGTTAAATCAATAGAATTGAGAGGGTGCAACATAAATTCATAGAATAGTTGCTCTTTAAGCACTAATTCCATAGCCATAATACATGTTATCAAACAAGTTTATTGCATTGTGGCATGCAGATCCTGGAATACAGGAGAAAACAATTCTTGACAAAATTAATAGGCAGTTCTATCAAGTGTGGGTCACTATTTGAAATATTTCAACTATTGGTTCCTGCCTGATGAACTTATCACATATCACTTACAAACTTAAAAAGACACAATCAATTACGAACAAAGTGCGTTTATTGATCGCTTGTGCAAGAACTATAATAATTGCTACTTGGACTGTGATATATTTAATTGTAATATTTTAGCTCTAAAAAGAAACTTGCTACTCCTGAACGTCTAATGGCGTTTTTCCATTAAACGGACAAAACAAAAACAAAACACAAACTCGTGTCGAGAAAAACAAAACTTTAACTTTTCTCAAACTTTTTGAAGACTGGCTTGTTTTGCGACAATTGGAGTTTTGTTTCTCGAGTTCTGCTCGGAAGGTTTTGACGTGTTTTGAAACTCGAGTCTGTTTACTGGAAACGGTTGTGTTGTGTAGCTTAACTTTTTTTCCAAATTGGTACCTATAGGTAAGTAAATAACGTATTTTTTTATAAATAAGTAATTTATGCTGGATAAATTTATATTTATGTGTAGAATATATATCTGTGTGTCAGAGACAGACTAGGTTAAGTCCAAATATTGTCTATTTTAGGTTTTTATGATGTCACATACTTCTTTTAAACTACTTTTATAAGTATTTTTAATTTGGACCTATCTTAAAAAATAAATAGGTATATAAATAAAATATAGAAAAATGTATTCTGACTTCCCGCTCAACAAACAAAACATAAACTCAACTGTCCGTTTAGTGGAAAACTGTCTTAAATTTTACTCATATTGTCCCTGGGTGCTGATTTTTTTTAAATATATTTTATATATACATATTTAACTATCTCATTACAGTTGTTTGTGTTCGGTTAGATATAGTGTGATATTAAAAACTATTTCCTATAAGTACTACATAGATAAATAAATAATTACTATTGTATAAATTTAGAAAATGTTTAAAAATTGTCGGAAAATATTTTCAGAGGACAAAAGGAGCATAGTTTGATTTTCCATGTTCAAAAATGCTAATTGAGAGAGCTGGAACCCCTAGAAGGGGATAATTAAAGTATTTTTTTTAAATATCTTTGGAATGAATTCAGTGATATGTATACATTTTCAATTTTTAGGTTAAAATTGTACACATTTATCCAACCAAAAAAGGACAGGTGGCAACCCTAATTATCATTGGGCTGAAGGACTTCAGTCGATGGATTGTTGAGTAAAGTAACTCAATAAAGAAAGTTTTTTATTTTTATTATTAACATTGTATAACTTAGAAAGAGGGTAAAGAAGTGCCCTTATGTAGTATACCAAAAATAAGACACCTTGCAAACTCTACTCCACATTACTTCCAATAGGTAATACATTATATTCCTGAACCAATGTTACTCCTATCAAACAATCCCTTCACAAATTATTTCACAATTTTGGAAACAAACAACAGAATATTATTATCCTTGAACCCATACTCCTCCAAAGACCTAACCAAATATCCAAATTTGAATACCCCAAAAAACTATATGAGAATATCTGCAAGACATTTATTATACTTATCTCTTTATTTAGTCATATATGGCTAATTAATATGTCATATATAATACATTAAAACAATACTAAGTTAGACTTAATAATAATAATAATAATAAAAAAGCTTTTTCAGAGTTTTATCCATTTAACAATTAATGCTTAACCTTGCTTTTAAAACTAAGTATTGATGTTAAGTTTTTTATAGAGTCTGGGATACTATTGAATTCCTGTAGGCATTTAAAAAATATAGAGTTTTGAGAGTTTCTTTTTGCCACTGGAGGTATATATTTTTGATCTGTTATGAGTATTGTACTGGTAACTGGTATCTCATGGTTAAATACAATTTTATCAATTAGATACTCAGGCGCACCGCCATTTTTTATTTTAAATATAAAAATTAGGGTTCGATACCTCATGAAATCTGTCACTGGAAGCCACTTTAACTGAGATAACATATCCTTTGTTGGGGCCATCCAAAATCATATAACTCAAGATGAGGAAAAAGAACAGAAGTGGACCCCAACTTTCAAAAAGACTACGAACGTTTGTATCTCTAATTATTTTAAAATCTGAAGTAATATTCAAATAGTTTCATTTTTATTTTGTTTATGTAAATATTGTTGATTATTAATTCTTTAACATAATATTAAAAAGCATCCTAATATTGTAAAAATTATCATTGGGCTTAAAGACTTCTGTTGATGCCTGTTAGGTACTGTAACTTAATAAAAAATGTTTATATTATTATTATAAATTCTGCAGATATTTTATGAGGTCATCTCTAGGACTATAAGTATTTCTACTGTATTTCAGAAATAATATAATTTCAGTAGTTATTACAATCAAAAGCATTATTTTAAAAATAAAACTTACCATCTTTACCAATAAAGGTCATTACTAACACATGAGACCTTAAAAGAATTGGTTCAGGTACATTTAACCCATTTGAATGCATTCTGGACAAATTTCTCATCTCCTTTTCTGCCCAAGTTCTAACCATCTTTCTAGGATTATGTTTGCAATAGCCATGTCGAAATCTAAACTCTCCACTAACGTATTTATCTCTGTCTTTAAACACTAAAATAGAAGTTTTATAAATCTTGATAGCATAATCTTGGTCAGTTTTTGAGGAAGCATGGTAAACATTAGCTTCTTTTCCTGTAGATATACATCCATTTATTTCTGAAATTAAGTTCCTATTTAACAACTTAAATAGAATAATTCTTGTCCTGGGATCCATAACTTGCTCAGCAGTGGCCCTATCATGTTTATCTTTAGTTCGATTTCTTTCATTTTCCTGACGTTTTTGATTTTCTAATAGTAAGTTAGTTGTGTGCTTTGGAAGTGAGCTAACTTCATATTTATCCACATTTATCTTATGAGTGTATTTTTTAAAAAGGTTTTCATTAGGTTGATAATAATTAATTTTTTCTGAAGTTTGTTGTTGGTTTGTGTGACTGGAATGAAAACCATAATATTCATTGTCATAATCATCGTCATAATTATCATCAGAATATTCATCTACTGGATAAACTGCATTTTCTTCCAGGTTCAAATTTTCAAGTACTTGCTGTTCTTCTTCAACATCACAAAATAAGTCGTTCTCTGTGAGCGGCATTTTTATTGTAGCCATTCTTGCAAAATTTTAGATTTCTAAAATTTCTGCATATGAAATAAGTATTAAAAGCAATAATATTTTTCAATTTAAAAATCAAAATACAAAACACGTTATTTTTTGAGGTTAATTTCATCTGACAGTGACAAGAAAGGCAGTGTTGCCACACCAATTAATTTTTTCGTAATAGAATTTTGAATCAAAAGGTAATAAAATCGTAGTAAATAATGGCTGCGTTCATCCGCGCCATTTCAAGGAGCGCTACAAAAGTAGCGATCACTTACGCTACCTGATCGATCTTTATGTACGGATGAACCTGTTTAAAAATGACATTTGATTGTGGTTTATTCATTTTACTTTTGAGTTGAATGTCTCTGGTTAAAGATTTGTTTGTTTATTTGTGGTTTGTAATATAACCCTACTAGTCACCAAGCAAACCGTGGACGTAAGTGCGTAAGACATATCAGTAGAGCTGTGGCAAACCGTATGTATTCGTTACTCAGTAACGGGTAGTCGGTCAGATACGAAATACGAATTCGTTACTGCATTTTAAATTTCGTTACTCGCATCCGCATCGTCGCATAACGCACAATAATAATACTTGATAATACATACCACCACCGGTTCGGTATGCGAGATGGCCCGTTGAGCGATGCGAAATGCGAGTGTGGCCTTGATGCTAATCTGTTAGACAGTACCAAAACCTAACAACCGAAGCAATCCGTACGTACGATTAGTTACCGACATCAATTCCGCATCTGCATAGACGTGTGTGAGGCCCACACGATGCGCGTTCTGTAGATTCGTATCACAGTAACGAAAGTAACGAGTAACGAATATTTTTATACGGGTAGTCAGATCCGAAGTAACGAATACATACGGGTATTGATTTTCTCGTTACTTTTACAGCTCTACATATCAGTGATCACCGATCAGACGTAAATAAAATGCGCTACTTTTAATGGCGGCCGCTCCTTGAGCGAAATGTCAAAATACACTGTTCATACGTGCCACTCGATCGATCAGGTAGCATGTGGCGCGGATGAACGCAGCCAATAGCTTTGATTGACTTACCAATTTTATAACGTTTCAGAATCTTCGATCTTTACGAGATCGATATTTTTTCCTCCCGATTTTTCTTGTATCGATCTTTGGCTCCACCATTTGGATCGATACTAAGAATCGATCTTTCTTGCCGAGATCGGAAACCCTACTTGGTTTATTAAAATAATTGAAATCTTGAATTTTACTCGGCGTTTTTTGTTACATTGTTACTTGTTAGATGATGACATGATGATATAAATTGTATGTTTAAATTCATGACAGATGTTTTCCATAACTATGGAGATCATGACTTATAAGAATCATTATTTGTTGCTCATATACGAATAAATAAAAAACTCATCTATTCATATTTCAATATCTTTTTTAGTCGTCGGAATGGGTAACATAAAGAAGTCAAAGTCATAAACGTAACACATAACATGAGAATATGAGTATGAGAATAACAACACAAGTACATAGGTATTGTTTTTCAAGAATAACATTATTTTAAAGTAGGTACCTAACCGAAATACATATTATTAGGATTAGGATATCGAATACTTTGAAAAAAAAAAAAAACAACAAAATAAGTAACTAATACGTTTCTAAGAATACGTATTTGTTACTTTTGAGCAGTACCAACTTTTCCAAGTTGGTGCCACTTAACGCATGACATCTAGGAGCATTAATTATTTCAGCGAAAGAAAATAATCGTTCCACGGGGGCAGATGACGGTAAAATATACAGTTATACTTTATAAATAACTGTTTAATAATATTGTATTCATTCAGCATTGACAAGGTGGTCGTTTCAGGTATTTGAGGAATTAAAATTCTTACTGGTTCTGAAAAGTATCAGTAGAATGGAGCCTTATAGCAGTATCCGAAGAAACAATAACCTCGACATCATCCTTAAAATCAAAAAACGCGTCTTTAAGGTCTTCTTGAGCTGTCAAGTCGGGCGCAACTAATACTTTAAAGGCCAAAGCACTACTCGATATCCAAGATTGAATATCTTCTGCGGATACTTGAACATCAGTATCTTTGAAGATACTCAACCAACTCATTTTAAATCTGGAATTGGCTACTGCTGCTATAACGGCTATCTTAGACTGCAAGGTAAAAACACGATGGAATCGTTCACGATTAGAGTTCAAAATGTAATCCATGGACTTAGATAGCTGTGTGATTGTACCAGACAATTTAATTTTCTAGAGTTTTGTGTGCATTGATATAATACTGAACCCAACAAAAAGAGAGGTATCATATTGTTTTACTTACCTATCTAATTCACAGTTATGTTCAGATACTGTCTATATCTGTACACTATACTCTATCTTAAGACTGTATGCTTATTATACTCTTATTACGAGTAGTATTATTAATACCAGGTATCGGTGAACTACAAGTCCGGCATCGGCACACGTTAGACGTCGTGTGTCGGTGTCGCAAAGATTTGATTTGTTTGAGTGTGTTTACTGTCACTTTACTGTACTGTTTACTGTCCGGATAATATAAAATGCGAGTGCTAGCTTGTTTGGCGTTGCAGTATTTTTAATAATATACTTAAAGTAAACATGTACTTAAAAGAATTTCAAAAGTACTTTAATTATTTTCCATTTAAGTACTTACTGTTAAAAATTACTTAAGTATTTTCAGAAAAACTTTAAGTAGATTCTGATTTTCCAGTACATTTTTCAAGTAACAAGTAATACTTACCACAAAAGCGTTAATTAAAGTACAAGCACAAGTACTTTTTTTCAAATGTAATAAGTACATTTCCAAAAGTATCGTTAGTTCATAAATACTTTAAGTAAAATACTTAAAGTATAAAAATACTGATTATTTATTTCAAGTACATTTTTGTACTGAGTACCTCAGCTCTGTCTACCAGAACTAATATTAAATAAATTTAACAATAAAAGTTTCTTATTATCAAATATATCGTTTTGGTTAATAGAAATAATAAGTTTCAAAAAGTATAATGAAGAAAAACTAAAATTTTAAAAATAAATATTTATTTTAAACAAAAAAAAAAAAATACGTGTGGCACTCGGGGACTGCCGAGGTAAAGCTATTGCATAGCATTTTTTATCAACTTATGCAATTATAATTATTTATTTATTTATTTTATTTATGCAGTATTTTTTTTTCTTTGATATTAATTCAAGTTACACTTTTGAGCGTGGTGACCGATAAGAAAACAAATTTTTTTCTTTTATTGAATAAACTTAATACTGTTTAAAATATTTTTATTATCTTACAATACATGTATGTTATTCAGGAATTTTTATCGTTGAAACTATAGGTTTATGGTAACTGAAATAGGAAACCCAGACAGCAGGTAATCCTTTGGATATCTACTTAACATCCCAATATCCACTGAATGTCCAGTCCATGGTAGATATCTATTTTATATCCATGAAATGTAATTTATAGACATGCAAATGTCTATAAATAATAGTAATTATATAGCAAATTATTAAAAAATTACGCCATTGTGCTCGCCATTGTGCTCGCCATTGTGGCTAATAGTACCGTTCAGATATTTAAAATTAATTTTTTTAAGGTGTATTCAATATCCATGAACATCCACTAAATATATCAAAGTCTAGGCGCGAACGCAAACCATCGTGGATATCCACTAGATCTTATTTGATTCTGCTTACTAAGTATAGATGGCGATACCACTGTCGCATCTACTCATGCTCGACCCGCCGTAATTGAGTTCGATCGAAATGTGTGTCCTATTCATTCCATTAGAGATTGGAGTCGTGCATTTTCATTTATTGCTGAAGAGTCCTAATAAGGATGACTTTCTCCTTAGTGTGGACAAAATCAAAGGCAGAGTGTTGAAAATATTTTGAGTGTTGAAAATATTTTTTATCTCTGCTATTTTCTTTCGACGTTATTCAATAATCATTGGTTACTTATGAACCTCTACTAAAGATACCCATAAAATATTTTGCTGAATATCCGAATATCTTCTATATCCTGGGATATAGACGGACATTTGGTTGGATATCCATATTGGATATATTGAATATCCACAAAATATATTCTGTGGATATCTCTGTGATTTCTTGTATTTTCTGGAAGATACCCATTAGATATTTTGCTGAATATCCATTAGGATATCTTCTATATCCTGGATATAGACGGACATTTGGATATCCATATTAGATCCACGGAATATTTCTGATATCCTGTGGATATATTGGATATCCACAAAAGATATTCTGCGGATATCTCTGGGATTTGGTGTATTGTCTGGGAACATAAGTTTGAGACTTGATATCCTCTAAATATCTGGAAAATACCGCGTCAATGGTGGTCCCATATTGTGTTGTAGATTCTTGTGGATCATTATTCATTTTCAAATTCAATTTTTCCGAAATTGTGTCTAAAAGAGAAAGAATCAGTTATAAGCAGTTAGCAGCTAGTCTACACGTATACGTCTAGTCGCACGCACACAAACACCGTGCCGAAGTCTGCCGAACTGAAACGACGTTAGACGATGTACGGCTTTCAACGCTGTACCGCTGTGCCGGTCGGAGTGGGGGGTGTTAGGTTTATTTTCGTTACGGAATTTCTTTTTCGAATTTTGGATTTTTTCGATTTTTCCATTTTTCAATTTTATTTTTTCGATTTTTCGATTTTTCGAGTTTCCGATTTTTCGACTTCGATTTTTCAATTTTTCGATTTTTCGTTTTTTCGATTTTTTCGATTTTTCGATTTTTTTAAAATGTTTAGTTTTTAAAAAGTATATAGTACTTATTCAGTGATTTTCCACACTCCTCTGATAGTCGCACTAGGCTTGTGCCTCGTGCGACAATATTTCCCTCTCGTGTGAAAAATGTCACTTTCCACACTTGTAATGTAATATACTATTCCTATTTTTTTGAATTTAAATAAACGAAGTCTTCACTGGTAGCTTGCATTTTTAAAATTAGCTGAACTTGAATGAACCTCGTTATGCGCCACTATGCATTGAATAAGTATATACTTTTTAAAAACTAAACATTTTAAATTACCAAGACTGTGAAATAATAAAACAATAATATTTTTCCTTTTTTTTAAGAAAAAAAAAACAAAAAAAAACTAAAAGTTTCTGGGCTCGAACCACCAACTTGCTATCCACACTATCCAAATTATGACCACTGTACGCTTTGCGCCACCAAGGTGTTTGGAATCCCTTATAATAATATAAAACAATTTATTACAAATATTTACGAAAAATTTTATCATGTCAAATGATACCTATATTGTAATTAATTGATTTTAAAACTAAAGTATCATTATTACTTAATTGTATTAATTTTTAATCTTGAGATATAAACTTCCATGGCTTTAAGGCCGCACTGCTGTGCCGGTCGGAGTGGGGGGTATTAGGTTTATTTTCGTTACGGTGTTACGAAATTTCTTGATTCGGTCGCCGCTCAAAGCCCGGGTAGCTACAAATTTGTAAGGGGTTTTCTCGCCTCAGAGAAAACGGTTCCTTACGAATGACGCTGGTTACGGACGGTTCTCGAGCGCCAGATTTTTGGTGATGGTTTACTCCACAAACTCTCGAAACAGCGTCGAAAGTACTCGGGCAGCACAGATGGAGATGAAAAATTCCAGGGGTCAAAGGTTACTTAGACTCAAATAATTAGTAGCCACAAATAATGGGCTTTAATCACTACTTGTGGTTGCAAAGAATTTTTCACTGCTGAAAAATAAGGGGGAAGTAAATTGGTGATCAGTAAACTCAGTAATAATCACGCTCGGGCGCCAAATTTGTAAGGGGTTTTCTCGCCTCAGAGAAAACGGTATCCTTACGAATGACGCTGGTTACGGACGGTTCTCGAGCGCCAGATTTTTGGTGATGGTTTACTCCACAAACTCTCGAAACAGCGTCGAAAGTACTCGGGCAGCACAGATGGAGATGAAAAATTCCAGGGGTCAAAGGTTACTTAGACTCAAATAATTAGTAGCCACAAGTAATGGGCTTTAATCATTACTTGTGGTTGCAAAGAATTTCTCACTACTGAAAAATAAGGGGGAAGTAAATTGGTGATCAGTAAACTCAGTAATAGTCACGGTAATTTTGACACATATATTGATTTTAACTATATACACTAAAAAAAATAAAAATAAGATATTTCAACGCCCACCCTCGGTTATGAAACCCTGAACAAAAAAAAATGAAGCAATGGCAAAACGGTAACGAACGGCTGATATAGTTGGCAGGTATTCTCAATCAGACTGCTTAAACTGGATACGGTAAAGGGGTCGCGTATACAAAAAAAAAATTGTATTCGGAAATCTCAGACTAAGGTCAAAATTTAAATCTCGGATAATATGAATTCTAAATTTACGGCAATTACTCTCAAATCGAGAAAAAAAAAATAATTGTAAATCATGGATAATACGGATTCAACAATTTAAATTTACGGTAATTGTTTAAATCGCAAAGCAAATCAAAATTTTAATCAAGGATATTAGTTTTAAAAATTCCAAAATTTACAGTAATAAATCAAAATTTAAATCAAGGCTAGTATGAATAAAAAAAATTAAACTTCGGCACTTCTGTAACTCGTGAGGACCACTCGAAATCTTTCTAAATGTTTGTTTCCTTTTTTTAAAACCCCTGAATACAATGAGCAAGCTACGGTGAATCAAACCCACAGTACCTCTTATTGTTATTTATTATTATAACCCCAAGTCGGACAAGGATATCTAGGAAGAAAAATAACACACGGAACTTTAAGCCCTCAGTGAGTTATTTGGGAATAGACAGGAAGGAAAATTAACACACGGAACTTTAAGCCCTCAGTGAGTTAATTGCGGAAAGCTAGGAACGAAAATAAGACACGGAACTTTAAGCCCTCAGTGAGTTATTTGGGAATAGACAGGAAGGAAAATTAACACACGGAACTTTAAGCCCTCAGTGAGTTAATTGCGGAAAGCTAGGAACGAAAATAACACACGGAACTTTAAGCCCTCAGTGAGTTATTTGGAAGTAGCCAGGACGGAAAAATAAAGGAACGGAAATTTTATATTCAAAACAGGAAATGATACCCTCCCCTTTAGAAAAAAAAAAAAAAAAAAATATCGCGAACAGTCAAACTAAACCAACAAAAAAAAATATTTAATTCCCTTATTTCCCACAAATAGGAATTTAACAAATCTATTCTTTTAAAAGTCTATCTAAATTTAAAAAAAATGAACACTCTAATTCCTATCTTTTCCCAATTTACTTATTTAACAATTCTCTTTACAAAGTCAATTTATAACGGAAGCAGTCCTCACCGTTCGAAGACGATAATAATAAAAAAAAATAAATACGGTCAAAATCAAAACAAGAAACTATTCTTCGACTGTTAATTTAATAATTAAATTTCGGAATTTTTACAAAATTATTTACGTGTTAAAATGTGATCTCAAACGGTGTTTAAATATACTAATTTAATTCGGTTTTAATTCCTATCTAAACTCGATACTACGGCAAAAAAATAAAAACGGGTTTTTTGTACTAACTGCGGTAAATATGGTTTTAGCTCGCGGTGCTGCTTTTAAATTTGTCGACTGACTCTTTCGATCGCTCGGAATGGAATTAAAAATTTCTCTCGCCATGGTCTCGTACTCGGGTCAAAAATATTTACCAATGTTCCACGCATGATCAACTTAAGTGGGAAAAGGTACTCGAGAAGGGGATGGTGCTTGCTGCCGGCGTTCGTTATCGTGTAAAAATATTAAAAATAATAAATTCCCAAATCTACAATTTTCTATAATAT